AGTACCTTTCTCTTCAGGGGAATAAAGTTGGAATAAATGAGAAAATTGACTTAAATCTCATAGATCATCATAGAAAATTAAAAGAAAAAAAAGACATCGTTCTTACAAAATGATTTGATCAATTGTATTGATGGGTTGAGATAAAAGTGCTGAGAACCATATCTCAAGTTGGCACAGTTCACTGAAAGCAAATTTGCTGTGAATGATGATAATTTGTACTGAAAGAAATTAGTGCCAATTTGATTAGGAATTGCCCTTCTGTTCAGATTTCAATGGCTAATATATCCTGTCATCGTTACAGCTTAATCTAGAATATAGAAGTTAAGGAAAAATGGTTCAGAGAAGAATAAAGACTACAGAGACATTCTACTCCTCTGATTTGTAAATGTTTTTAGGGCTAGGGAAGGAACACAAAAGAGATGATATAATCATGTTTAACAATATCTTGAAAAGCTATACATTTCCTTATCTGTAGAGCATTATACTTTGTCTTAAGCTTAAATGATACATAAAATAAATGTCTGTAGCTCTAGCAAAAATAATTGATCTTAAATTTAGACAAAATATCACACACCGCATATTAAAATTTGTGAAGTACTTTCACCACTTCATTTTTATTTAATCTTTGACACCATCTACAACAAAATCATGTAGAAATTAAGATTCATCAACTCTCAGTGTGTTGTTTATGGAGGAACCGAATAACCCCTCCAGAGACTCTTATCAAATCTCCTCCTATCAGTAAGTCAATATGATTTCTTTTTAACTTTTAGAGAAGTTCTACAAACATACTGTTACTGGATTTTGATTTCCTAGAGTCTCCTTCTGGAGGTGGTTTCTAGTTACATTCTGTACAAAGAACTAAATGAAACAAGCATGCACTGTGGCAAAGTTTCACATCTACTAAAGGTAGGGAAAAAAACCCCAGAAGGGTAGGGGAAAATGGGCCCAGTAAAAAGGGAAGAAAAAAATAAAAGTAAATACACCCTATATTGTAGGTTGAGCTATTGTGAAGAGGCACCATCATGAGCATTTAATGGCAGCTGTCTCTTTCCAATTTTCCCACACTGGTGTCGTGTCTAGGTCATTTTATCAAAAGCCTTCTCACGCTCTAGCAAGAAATCTACACTACATCCAGGGTGCTGAGAACTGTTCTGCACATGCATTCTGGATTCTTCTCATGCCTCCTTTCCCAGCCAATTTTAGCCACACCTTAACTTCCTGTCTCATTATCTTACTCGATATTTGTTTAACCATGAACACTCAAGAGTAGAGTGCAGACTCTCAAGAAAGGCACTACAATTTGGAATTGAGAATATTTATGTGTTTTTGGTGGTGAAAATCTGTGGAATTCATCAGTTTATAGTCTCAGTCTTGGTTTGGTGTGTGGGGCAGGATGACCATGCCCAGGAAGATAATAATCCATTCATAGGCGAAAGACTTTACTGGTGAAAGGAGGTTTAGTCCCAGGTAAAAGAAGATGATTTTCATGCAAAAAAGGAATGTTGAACCCTTTGCATATGTAAGGGGATTGCCCAGGCTTATTGTGTTCTAGGAAAAGAGAAAAAGAAGAAAAAAAATTCAAACTGGCTTTGTGTTTGGAACCTCAGTTTTTATTTTTCAAGTTATAATTTCCCTTGTCTCCTTTCTACCTATTTTTATTTCTTCTATCCTACCTTTCATACATACATTTTATATATATGTGTGTGTGTGTGTGTGTGTGTGTGTGTGTGTGTGTGTGTGTATGAAAGAATGGACTGTTCTTACCTAAGCACCTATCAGGCTCAATTTCTTTACTTATATCTCTTTGAGGCAGGAGATTAGGGTGTGGCAATTTGGCTGGGCAAGTGAATGTGACCCCTCAATAGTGAAGATCTAAGAGACCTGTGTCCAAATCTTGCACCTGGAATCAATCAGAAGGTGTTGTGTTCAATTATTTTCTTGAGAACTAAAGATAGACAAGTTGACGTCAGCCTGAGGAACAGGAGATATAAAAGATGGCCACCATTAAGTTCTTGACTAGTGTGTTCTCGCTTTCAAAGTGGTCCGCTGCTCTGACCCTGTAGAGTGTACTGCTGTTGGACCTCATTCCCGGATTAGATTAGCTACAATCTCTTGAAGCACAACACAGTCATGAGAATTTACTGGAGAACTTTATTTTCCGGCCAGGACCCATGTACACACCAACCAAGTAGGAGGACAAAGGCCCCTACTGAAAGGAAGACTGCATATTTAAAGGGAAAAATCCACAGAAAAAGTCCCTCCTCCCATTCCCCTGGGTTATGAATTGCTGCAGAAGCTGGTTACAGAAGCCAAGGTAAGCACAGTTAGTTCCCCGCATTCCCCTGGGTCACGGATCGTTGCAGATCACATGAAACACAGTTTCTGTTTATTTTACCTTGCAGTTACATGCATCAATTAGGGGTGAGCTTTTCTCTGGGAAGACAGAGTGCAGCTGGAAGTCACATATTTACAAAATGGAGAATGTTCTCAACATGGTGCTAGTATTGCTAAGTTGCTAGGTTGGGTCTCACACTGCTTTCCCAACTTTTAATTGCCCTGCACTTGCTCTGCAGTGCATGGTTCTTTTCTTTTCCTACTTTTAATAAATCTAAAACTTCACTACCTTTTTTGTTTGTTTTGTCCATCTTAGGGCCTGGTTTCTATCAGCTCAGCCCTTGACTGAAGGCCTAATTTATCTCATCTCTATTCTGATTCTATTTTGGGCCTGGTCCCCTTCTAACTGCCCATAAGTCTCTACCAAAATAAACTATCTGTAATAGTTTTATCCCAAACCTTACTAATTTAACTTGGAATCTGAAAATAAAATGTGAGTTTATTCAGATCTTTGGTTTAAAATGCTTCGAAACTGTCTGGGTAAGGAACATTATAAGTGGTATTGGGTTCTATTCTTGTTTCCTTTATTGACTAACCTAAATCTTTTGTAGAATGAGTAGTGCTATTAGGGTCATGTTTATCCTGCTAGGAAAAGAAAGTATCGACTTCATAGTTCAGGGTTATTATTTCCCATTGAAACAGTCCATGTAATTGAATTAAAAAAAAACTGGACAAATTATTAGCTAAAGTTTAGTCATTATTCTTTTTCTAATATGCTAATCATAGGTTTTTATTAGTCAAAATGATGAGCTTTCACAAAAGAAATACAATCAGCCTCAAATGACATGGTGACTCTTCAATTTACATGGCATTTGTGATTTAGTAATAGGTGTATGATTTATCTACATGTGAATTATATACAAGTTTAAAATAAACACATATACACATTGTTATAAGGATATATAAAACTGTGATGGCTATTACCTTCTTTAACAATATGCAGTTTCTAAACATACTCATATTTCTTATCTACAATATACACTTGAAGGTAAATCTAAGCTCATGGGTGCCCCTGGTTTTGGAATGTTGCTTACCTTTGTTGCACTGTCTGATCCTTCAGAAGTGGCTGTCTGTGTGGTACACTTCACTAGGCTTCAACCCTGATCTGCTCTGCAGCTTGGAACAAGATGAAAAATGAACTGCAAAATCTTTGAGATTGAGAACTACCTGGGGTTTTATTTATTCAATTTATTGCCATAACCCAAAAGAAGGCTGTAAAGACTGAAGTAATAAATAACTTTCATTTTTAATAAAAATAAATAGAATATGCCAGTTTCTTATACCATAAGTCTTATTCCACCCATTATCTCAATAACAAGGTTTTCTAAAATGTTGATGTTTTACTACTTGGAGTGTGCATTCTGTAAAAACTATGATACTCTAGAAAAGTAAAAACAATAATTTAATATTTAATGTGGAATTATTTATTTTATAGCAATGTGCTGGCTGCTCATGTCTCTGGATAAAAGAAAAATGATATATTTATTTTCCATATGAATAAATCTTATGGATTCAATTTGTACTCCACATAATGATTCAAGCAATATACAAAGAAAAAGGTTATGGCTAGGCATAAGACTATTATTCCCATCCTAACCAATTCTTTAATGAGGTATTTAATTAATAATATGAATAGCATGTGGTTCAGGGTATTATATTTCTTTGAATATACAAATATTTTAAGTTGAACTGTTGGAAATAAAAAAACTAGACATTTTGAATGGTAGGTTATCTCGTCACTGAAGGAAGGAGTACTTAATCTCAGCTAGTGCAACACTCCTCTAATGAATTCTTCTTTTGATTTATACAAAAAGCATCTATTATAATAATATGAACATATGCAACTCATTAGAATAAAAAAAGGAAAAGAAAATACAATGAGAGTGTAAAAACAAAATCATTTAAAAATCTTAAATAATTTTTGTATTTCTTTTTCTTGCTTAAACTCAGAAAGGGTAAGAGCTTATCTGAAACTTAATAAGTAAGTCCTTGTGGAGCTGGAAGTGCTTCAGAAACCCAAACCAGCTTCTTGAAACAAAGCCATTCCCATTGTTTTGATCCCAGGAGTGTGTGTCCTAAATTTGGTAGGCATAGATGCAGAAATCTCATCCTCAGTATCAAAAACTCCCCAGAAACCTTTAAGCCTCCAACTATCATCTTAAAATAAGTAAAGGAATCTCTTCTGGAAAAAAAATGTTTCATTTTTATATTTTTCTTACTATTTGTGATTTTCTGTTTGTTTATTGTAATTAATAGGAAAGCCTCTATAGTTATTAATAGCTAGCATTGTAAGCATTTACTACATACTAGGCACTATTCTGAGAGATGCATATGAACTTCAATCATCATACAAATCTTATAAGAACATTTAGTGCACTGCAGCCTACTTTCCAAAGAGGAGGGATTAAGAAAAACCCAGTGGCTCCTATTCAATGTTGCACACGGTTCCTTGGATCAACTCTGACTCTATGGCTGCATATAGTTCTCCCTAGACATTTTTCATGTATTCCTGATGTTCACATATTTGTTCACTCCTGGCCACAGTAAAAGTAGGGTTGTCTCCTCTGGAGATGCAGCATCTCACAGTGGAATCAACACTGTGCTAGAAAGAAACCAAACTCTTTATTAGAAGGCCTGGATGACGCTGTGCACAGGAAGGAGAGGGAGGGGAGAGACAGGGGGAAAGAGAAGAAAGAGAAGTGAGAAGGGAGAGGGAAGAGAAGAGAGGTGAAAGGAGAAAATGATTTTTTCCATTCTTTCAATATACGTGGTATCAGAAGGGCTCTATCTCCATCCAATCCCAAAGGTGGATTCCCAGCTTCCTCTTGACATCGGATGCCATCCAAATCCTTCCGCCTTTCACCAGATCAACTTCTTCAGGTCTCTAGCTTGAGCCAAAACAGCTTTCACTAGGGTCTGGCTCCCATTTTCCCTGTCAAGATAGGTTGGAACATTGCCTGAGAAAGAAAACTCAGAAGAAAATTAAGATAGTCAACGATTCATTTTTAAAGAATAGAGAAGCTTTACTGAAGGTAAAAGAAGCCACAACTAAATAAGAGTCATCTGTCAAACCAGAAGCCATTCCTGCTTCTCCACCCTTGACCTCAGCTGGTCATTCAGTGTGACTGCCTCCAGCTTCTGCTATTTCCTCTGCAAGGGCTACCAGCCCCAAAGAGGACCCAAAGATGCTAATTCTCAGTAAAAAAGAGAAAATGGTGGAGAAAGGAGTACTTAAAAGATTAGAAAAGAGCTGGGCAGAGTGCACAGGCCTGTAAAACTAGCACTAGGGAGGCTGAGGCAGGAAGATCACCAAGAGCTCAAGGCCAGCCTGGCTACATAGTGAGTTCAAGGCCAAACTGAACTACTGATCTACATAGTGAGACCCTGTCTCAAAACAGATAAAAAATAAAAACATTTCTTCCTGTTTCACAAAATCTGTTATGCCTTTTGATCCTTATTTAAACTTTCAGTTTCTCACACTAGAGAAACTATTCGGTATTACCACATGTGTGTCCTATTTACTTCACTTAAGAGTCTGGCCTCAGGGCCAGGGATTTAGCTCAGGGGTTCCTCCGCCTGTCTGGAAAGCGCAAGGACCTGAGTTCGATCCCCGGTACCAAAAAACAAAAAGAGTATGGCCTCAATGTGCCTCCATTTAGCTATAAATGTCTCTAGTTTCTCATTCTTTATGGGTGAGCAGTACTCCATTTTATAAAAAAAAAACACATTTTCTTTATCCAGTCTCCAGTTGATGGGGAGTTGGGCTGTTTCCAAGTTTTAGCTGTTACAAACTGTGCTGCTATGAACATAGAAAAGGTCCAAAGGGGAAGGGGAAGTGGGAGGGATTGGGGAAAGGAAAGAAGGGAATGGAATTAATATGAGGAAATGAAAAAACGGAAACAAAGTTTTTGTAAATAGGGAGGGATGGAGGGGTTGAAGGGAGGGCAGGGGAAGGGGGAAAATATAAGAACCAAGATGGATTATGTGAAAGTATAAATTTCTAATGATGAATGTCATTATATTGTATACCCAAAATGTACCAATAAAATTAATTTTTTAAAAAGAACAACTAAAACAAAAGAGAAAAGAGAAAAAGGTTGGCTCAAAAAACAGCTCCTTAAAAAAATAGTCAATAAAGAAGAGTCCTGATGGCTGTAAGCTGGCCAAGACTGAAGAAAGAGGGACAGTTATTTAGCTCAGCTGGCATTGCACCTGCTTGGCAAACACAAGGTCCTGAGTTCAATTCCAGGTACAAAAAAAAAAAAATACTGAAGAAAGAGCAACTGCAAGAGAAAGCAGCAGACAAAAGAAGGCAGCAACAAGAAACAGGATACAATCAGAGATAGAAAAAAGCTCATGCTCCCACTGAAGAGATAATTCCACAGCATGAGAGAAACATTTTCAGGGAGAATGATAAATGAACTTGGAGACAAAAAAATGACTTAGGGAGTTTATAAATGGAATCAACAGAATAGAAGATACAGATCAGTAGCTGCTGACCTAGGAAATGGAAATATGGCATCTGCACATCCATGGAGACCATGCCTTCCTGGCTACATAAATTGTCTCCACTAGTAATTCCCTTACTTGATATTAAAGCTTTTCAATTCTAAGAACTTTCTCTTAAAATTCCCCTAGAAATTTTGAGCATTATTGCCTGAGGACAAAGCCTCAAATTATTGTAACAGGAAAATTTTATGTCTAATAGAGACTCAGTTTTTTGTTTGTTTGATTTTTCTTATGGTGTTTTGTTTTATTTTGTTTGTTTGGTTTGGTTTTGAGGCAGGACCTTGTCATATAATTCAGGCTGACTTTGAACTCACTGTGTAGCCCCAGCTGGCTGAACTTTCAGTGATTCTCCTACCTCAGCCTTGTGAGTACTGGGATTACAGGCATGAGCCACCGTGGCCAGCTAGAGAGTTAGTTCTTCTGGACAGAAGCCACAAAGTCTTTGAAATAGGGTTTAGAAATATAGACTTTGAATATGAACTTACAGGACTATGTTTTCACTGAGGCTACTATTATAAAAATCTAATCATGCATCTCAAGAACTTATTGCTTAGTAATTACCACCCTAGGAATTTTTTCAGTGAAAAATCAAAATTATTTCTCCTCAGAATTTCTTGTGATCTTTCTCTATTGAAGTCATGAACATATTTTTTCCTTGGATTTGTTCAAACATGTATAAGTTACTAAATTCCATGCATTTGTGTGTGAGGGGTGGTGTATTGTTTCCCTCACTGAAGCTACAATGCAGGAAGCATCGTCTTTTTTTTTTTTCTTTTTTTCTTTCTTTTTTTTTTTTTGATTAAAAGGTGCTACTCCCTCAACAATAATGTGATCTTGCCATTTGCTGTAAAATCTGACCTCTGTGGTATAGCAACAAAACTTTTGAGAAAGATCAATATATCTTAGGGGATAAAAATACCACCAATTAAAACCCAAGTTGATAAAGGTCATTCTGTCCCATAAGCTTCTCCTGCACCATTTCTAGTCACCAGTGGAAAAGTTAAAAAGGAAAGACCTACATTAATTTTTCTTCTACAAGAAAGAATGACCTAGGAAGAGACCTCTTTATTAGGCAGAACCAATATGCATGAGTCTTGGGGTATATGCAGAATTTGTGGAACAAATATGCTTTGCATAATTAAAAAGGAGTGAATCCCAGAGAAGAGGTAGGCATGAGAGATTTAAAGATGAGGCCATGTGCTTGTGCAAAGAGAAAAGCCAAGCTAATTTATCATATCTGTATTCACACAGTGCCAAGAGGTGAGAACATCTGGAGCTTATGACGAAAATCAAACGCAGTGGAATAGAAGTCACATCCTAGACTCAGAGGGAGCTGAGCAAGTGAAAAATCCTCTAGAAGCACAAGTGTTTGAGGAAGGCCTTTCTACAGTACTTGGCTAACGCTCCTAGCCAATTTTATTCAAGTGTCATAAGACAGATGACTTCGCATTTTACTTTGGTTATCACTGTAAATTATAAGCTTCATGAATATTTTTATCTCTCAAACGGTTTTAACTTAAATTTGAATAACATTTTCTTATTGAGATTTTATTTTTCATATTTTATGCTAACTTTCTGGTTTAAATTTGGGTTTTTTTTCAGTTACTGGACTACATATTAAAAATGCAAGACAGTAATTACATGTCATCTCCATTTAACAGAGGCAGTTCTTTACATTAGTTCATTTTCCATTACTCTAATGATATATCTGAGGCTATTTAGGTAACAGTTCTGGAGTTCAAGGACATGGCACTCTCATCACAGGAGCATGTGTGTGAAGAGGAGCTTGCATACAGGAAGCCAAAGACAGGTCGAGGGGCCAGGCTTGTTCTCTTATAATAGCATTCTCCTGAGAACTAATTCAGAAATCCCACCAGAACAACTTGAACCCATTCTCAATCACGTTCAGCCCCTTGACAACCTCTAACTAGACTCCATCGCCCACAAGTCCAGCACCTCCCCAAGTTGTCACATTAATGGGCCAAGTTCCCAATGCATGAATATTTGAGTGACAAACTACATCTAAACCATAACAGCCTTCAATTCAGTTTTAACCCACATGATCTGTATCATGGGTGCCATTGCAATGACTGTTAAGAAAATTGAAGTTTTTCTCTAAAATATGGCTGATATAAATTCAAATATCTAAATACTATGCCTTTTATGAATTGTTTGATAAATATTACACATTGATATACAGCATGATGTCTTATTAGAAATATATGAAATAAATAATCCAAACTAGTTCATACCACTGGATATTTTTCAATGAATGTTCTTTGCATTGCTCAACAGATTTTTTAAGCAAATACTGAAAGTAGATTTCAACTGATTTCGTGTTGCCATTCGTACTTCCTAGAGAAGAAAAAAGTAAAAATAAAATGTTGAAAATCATAAGTTAATAAATGTATTAAAAGGTAATTGTTCAGTGGTCAAAAGGAAAATATTTTTAAATATAGGTCAACATTATAAAGTAGTAAAACATGACAAGTTAACTGTCCTGCTATTTTTCTTAATATTTTTACTATGCACTCAAATCTACATTAATTATAATCCTTTTAAAATGATAAAATGGATATGTATTTATTCCTAGTATTAAATTTAAGAATACTAGTGAAGTCCAAAGATGCAAATTTGGTGGTAGTAGGTAGTAAAAATATTAATATTTAAAACAAAATAATAAATAGCGATGTTCTCATCTTGCACATTTCCACTTCACTTTATCTCACAGTTGAATTAGGTAATATTTAGTCTTTTATTTTACAAAATTGTGAGTTTAATATGAAAACATTAGTTAGAATCTCCAAGAATAACCCTAATTCTCATTGCTGAATTAAATATTTGAGATAATGCATTAACTTTTAAAGGCCATAATACTGTATAATATCTATAACTTCAGGGCAGCAAATGGTAACGTGGAGTATTTCCATTTTTCTCTAACACATGCTTTAAACCAAAGTATGCAGAAAGGGGAAAAATAAAACTCATGTAGTTATTTAGGAGAAATTAATTCATTTTTTGAAGTGAAAATAAAGTTTAAGCTGATAAAGGAGAATAAAGCACTAAGTCAATATTTGAAGAGAGGAGTGAATCCTAACTGCCAATTTCCCAATCAGCCTCTGTCAATGTCCAAGATGACTGTCTTTCACTGAGAATGCATTTCAGTCTCTGTTTATTAAATTTCAGATGGTTTCTCAAACTGCCAACAAGAGGACTAATTGATGCCAATTACAGGGTCTTTCTCAGAGGAATTGGAATGAGTCCACATATTCAGTTCACACACATGACTCATCTTCCCACAATTTAATAATGATGGCTATCCACCTTGGTACCATAACAGATAAAAATGCAATCCTTAATGTGTCTTCAATATTTACTCTAATGTTAGCTCCAGATACCTTATTACTGGAACTGATACTGCAGATTTCCCAGAACTTGAATTAGATTTTCAGTTTTTGCAATATTGCCATGTCTGTAGGAATGAAATATCCAGGTTCATAAGAAACAAAAATAATGTTTTGAAACATTTTGGAAATGCTACTCTTGAAAGTCTTTTTTTTAAGAAAATGCAAAAATAATACAAGCTGTGCTACTATGGCACACATGTCTGATTGACAATGCAAAAGAGCATAATTTTAGTCTAATTCTGAATTGACAGTGCTGTTTGTGGTGGTCCTTTTGCAATGTAAATAACTGATCAGATTCCCAGAAGTTACTGGCCTGCCTCCTCTAAATGTCTCCCACTTAAAACTTTCTTTCTATACATCGCTACAGCACCATAATATTTTTATTCTCATAGGTATGGAATTCCAAATTCCAAAAAGAAAAATCTCTTAACATATTCTTAATAAAATATGTATAGGTTTTACATTATAATTAAATAAGAGCAGAGAATAAAATCTATCACTTATTGTATCCCAAGGTCTGCAAAGCATTGCAATATTTTATATGTATTAAGTTAATTACCAGAGCAACTTTTTGTTGTAAATATGATGATCCCTCCTCAGAGATAAGGAAACAGAAACCAATTCTATGATAACGCTATTTCACAAGGAAAATGTAAACTGGAAATGAAGGGGAAAAGGATGATTAGCAAATCTGTAGTTTAAATTGTGGATGTCTTTGCTCTGATTATAAAGATATTTTTACAATTTAAAGTAATTATATATATGCTTAAGTAAACTAGGCTTTTCCTTAAAATAAATGGAAAACCTGAACCTATTTATTTTTTGTCTACACACAAGTGCATGATTTTAGTTCAAAGGATTGATAAGTTTCTTGGCTAGGCAAGCTTATTTTTCTTAAATACATTATACCATGATCATCCAATGTTTCTTTGAGAATGCAGTACATAAAACAAAATATGGTGAAAATAAAACAAAAATGAACCAGAATTTAAATTTCCAAACTCTTAAGTGGAGAAATAATCATAGAGATATTATCTAAAGTGTAAGACATTACTCCCAAAATTGCCCTGAAATTCACTCTAAGTGAATCCACATATCCTTTACATGGGATGTGGAATACATTTGGAACACCAAAATTTCTTGTATATCTCTGGGCCAATATTTATATTTTATTCTACAGAATAAATGCTCCCTGAATAATATTATATGAATTACTTTATTATACTGAGTATCACCAAAACCAAATCTTCTGTGATAACAAACTTTAATCCATTATTTGAAAAGGCTCATTAGTGAAGTAATGACTAACATTTATTTAAAAAATAACTGACTTCCAGTAGTCACTGTATTGGAATAAATTCAAAAAATGTTACCCTCTTGCATATCCCTAAAATATTCTGAGGGCTTTTTTTTAAGTTAGAGTATTGAAAATATCCTTAAAGATCCCTATGGTTTTGTTAGTGAGTGAATTGGGGGAATTTCAGTTTATACTTGCTGTCCATTTTAAAGTAGCTAGAAATTATTTTATTAACAAAAGAAGTATATCCATAGCACTGCTTTGGAAAAGGAAAGTAGCTTGCAAGCTAAAATAGCCAAATACCAACAATATTAAAGAAGAATATCTGTATACCTTATGAAGTCCTATGAAGTTGTAAAATTTAATTGAGTGAATAAAGATAAACTATACTTTTGAAAACTTAGGTCCGTCATTGGTTATATGAGAATTTACCTGCTACATTATCTTTACAAATTTAAATTTGTCACAATGACCACTACAAAATCAAATCAAAATGCAACCACATGTCTGATTTTAAATTTCAGTACCTTCAAAGAAACATTTCATCCATTTTGCTCTTTACTACTGGCAGGTTTTTGTTTCCCTTTTGCACTCATCTTTAAATTTTCAGTTTAAAGGCAAGAAATATCTTTGCCCTGAGAACCCTGACATAAAGTTGACTAAATGGAAAGGGTGCAGTAATACAAAAAATGTATTTAACAGTGGTTTAATGAACTCTGATAAATCTTTCCTGGAATTTCAGGATGATTTTTTCATTAACTAAGATCAAATATGGAAACACGTGCTGAAGGAGTTCATGAGTTAATGTTAATGAAGCCATGGAAATTTCTGATGTCTTTATAAGTAAGAAAAATAATGCTATAGTGTAGAGGAAGAATTTTTTTAAATGCCTTTTCACAATCTTGAGCAAATGAATCGATGGAGGTTTATGCTTAGTATGGGGGAAAATAAGTTTAATTACAGAAAGGGCTTTTTAGAATATCAAACCTTATATCAAGTTGAATAAAATGATGCTATTCTGAGCACATTTCCTGAAAGACAGAATGCATCAGACATTCTACAATGAATCCTAAAAGCTTTTTTTTTTCTAAATGCTACAAAATGTCAGTAGAGAATGGAGCCCAAACATGCTGGAGATTTCATTTTAACTGTGTAATTTATACACTGGGAATTTGACATAAAGGAAAAGATTTCAGTGTTGTAGTAGAGCATCATTTTTAATGTCAAAAACTCCTCAGAGAATTTGGTAACAAGAGCCACTCAATACAAACTATTCCATCTACTGTGAAACACTGAGAATTGTTCACTAATGAGAAGCAGAAAATAGTAAGAAATGAATGCCTGTGCTTAGAATATTCACTGGTATTGTCAGAGGGATAGAAGGTAGTTCTGATCCATACGTTATGAGAATGAATAAGAAAATGCTTGTCTAAAACAAGTTCCTGTCTGAATTAACTAAAATATTCACCGATTCCAGTATTGCTATCTTATATTTAGGTGTTTCAACAGGATTCTTTCACTTTTCAGCAACCTCAACATAAAGTCATTATATAAATACCCGCAAATACCTAAGGCCTGAAATAATCATTCTCCACTGGACAAATCAATAAAGAGAATTGTGATTTCAAATGACAAAAATAAATGCAGTGATTGCATAATATACACTAGGAATTTGCAATTTAAATGTCACAAATACGTAAGGTTGAACCAAGTGAATTAAGTAACTATTAAAGATATTTATTAAAAAAAGAGCTCATTGTTCATAAAAAGTAACTTCTATCATGATCAGTACTCATCTTATGTAAACTCTACTTCTAATTTATAAATAAACGCTCAGAGTAAATATATTTTCACTCAAAATAATTTTATAAAACCTCACACATCCTTCCCATTAAAAATTAATTAAAAGGGCTGGGAATTTAGCTTAGTAATTCCACCGCCTGCCTTGCAAACGCAAGGTCCCGAGTTTGATCCTCGGTACCAAAAAAAAATTAATTAAAGGACTGGATGTGTGGTTCAGTGTTAGATAAATGTTTAGTGTGTATTATGTCTGGGGTTCAATCCCCAAATCACTACATACATATATATATATACACAATACCACATATATATACTATATATGTAATATATATACTACTATATATAATATATATGTAGTGTTTTTTTATGCATTTGTGACCTATCCTACTTTTCTAATAATTTAGAAAAGAAAGCTTAGAATAAATAGAGGATTTTTTTTGATTGCATGAAAAGAAAGAAGATTGAAGTATGGAATGAATAAATTTAAAAACAAATTCAAGATATAATATATAATAAAGGATATAGAAAATAAAAACCAATATATAATAAGAAATGAAATAATTAATATTTTCAAAGATATAAAATATAAATAAGATGAAGTTTATTGAAAATAGAAAGTTTAAAAGATAATGAGACATTTTTATGAAAAATGGGGTCATATTTTGTTTTCATCTTTGAATCTTTGTTATAATTTATAAAATACGCATTTGACATCACTGTAGGAGAAGAAAAACATCTTTTCTTATTACCCTTTTAAGCTTATAGCTGTGGCATCTATATATTAAACAAAAAGATTAACAAGAGGAAAGCATATAAAGTTATTCAATATAAACTACATA